TTTCAAATGGATATTTTAAAGCAAATTTGGCCCCATTCCTGCTACAACTGTGAACTTACATTGTCTGCAGGAAATGTTATTTTATGGACTGCACATAACAACTGGCCTTTTAAGCTCCTGTCTCTCCATGTATCTCATGCCAATGAAAGGAACTGTTGTATACCTGATGTGCAATTCTGCTGAGTAATTTTAGCAGTTGGTTTAAAAGGCCAGAAGGGAAGGGAGAAAGGACATGAAGTAAAGAATTAAATAAAGAAGTAAAAGTATGTCATTTAAGAAAGAGATTGAAACCTTTTTTTTTTTTTTTGCATATGATAAAAGAAAAGAAGGGCATGACTAAATGTGTGGCTTGCTCCTCTTGAAGTATTGTTCCCGATTATTGTAGGAAAGGTGTCAATTAGAGTCAGCTCCTTTATGCCTTCTTATCTTCTGCTTTTCACAAGAAGATGTAGTTCGTTTTACAGGTTACCACACAATGAAGTTGATTTTTTTCCCCCTTAAGAAGCTATTTATGCAGTATATATCTCACTCCCAAAGAGGATTACAGGCTTAGACCAAATAATCAGGGTTTGTAAATACTTTTTATGATATTATAAGCAATATACTAGATACTGAAAATTATACATATCTTCTGCTTAATTTTCACATACGTATTTGCATACTGAGTTGGATTTCAACCTTGAAATATATTGAGACCCAATAGCCTCAGCTTTTATTGATGCTTCTGCTCAACAACACAGAAAAAACTTCTGCAATGGAGATGGCTTCTGTTGGCATTAACCTTCCCATCATACTGATCGAGGAGCTTCTGCGCAGCTGCCAGCATTATTCTAGCCTGAATAAAGTGCACTGAAAATTTGTCTTCAGGAAGAAGGTCTTCGCAACAAGGTTGACATGAGGACTTATTAAAATAAGTCGTCTTTAGATGTATACATCTCATTTTTGGATGAAGGATACCACTCTTGTACCATCTGCAACAGCTGTAACAGTTGTACTGGAATAATCTTTACAGATATAGGAAACTGTTCATCCAATTACTAGCATCTGCCTATTCTATGATAAGGAGTTTTCTTCTTGCTATGAGGACTAAATAAATTCTGCATGTCAAATCTTTGCATAAATTAAGGGAAAGAACTCTACCAACCAGACTAACTTTTCAACATTTTAAATATACTAAGTTGAAAAACATGAATCTTTCTTATAGCATAGCCCAGTTGAAAGTTATCAATTTAGTGCTGGAGGTTTTTTGGGTGTTTTGGGGTTTGTTTGTTTGCTTGTTTGTTTTTTTTTATTTTCAGTTTATCTTAAAATTAAGGTTTTTTATAAGTGTTATGTGTTCCCATGCAGATATTTCCTTTGTCTTTGACTCTGTTCCTTATTGCATAAACAAATCCTTTCATTTTTATTTGGTTACTCTGCAAGTTGTAAATAACTATGACAAATGCACCATCTCTGCGTGTGAAATCTCAAAAATATTGTTATTGAGTAGATTCCCAAAGGCCTTGTGAGACTAGTATCTTAACATTTATTCAGTCTGATCCTCTACAGTTTGCACTTTTTCAGTTCAAAAGACCACATAATTCTCTACTGCCTAAAGGCATGAGAGATTGGTTTTTCTCACAAGCAAAATGAATAGGTATTTTCAGCTCCCTCCATTTTGTTTAAAGTTTGTCTTTGAAAACTTAGGATGATGAATTTGAGATTTCCTTTTAGGCTCATGCTTATTTCTTTTCATTACTTATATTTTAAGGTTATACCTCTCACTCCTCATTGTTCAAGTGCAGTAGAGGTTTATTGAACTCTTTTTTGTCAGGTAGTACAGACAGACCGCAGTACTACTTTTCCTTTTGAAGACCTTTTTAAACCTGACATGTCTTGTAGTAACTTTGATGTCGCCTAATTGGAATCTTGGAAGTGAAAAAATAAATAACTGAATGAAGAGATGAGCGGCAGGCCTAAGGTTGTACAGAATATTATTTTGCTTTCAATCATTCTTCTGTTCCTGTGCCTTACAGTCAGGTAACCCTCTAATACTATTGCTTTATTTATGTCTATCACCCATTCCTGAATTTGAGTCTCTCAATTATCTGTCTCCCAGACTTTGAACTCAGAAGCGCCTGAATTTGCATTTGTCTTCATGGTCCCTCTGAATCCTGATCCAATCTTTTAACTAGCCTCCTTTTTAATGTCTTACCCTTCTTGAAGAGTTATTTTTCATCCTGTCTGATCTACTTGTCTCACCTAGTTTAGGCTTAACTTTCTCAGGACAGGACTATGTGTCTTAAAACTGTACAAATACCCTTCACACAGATAGTTCTACAAAAGTCCTGCAGAACTGATTTGGCATTACCCAGCACAGCGCTGCAGACCAGCTGCCAATAGTCACACAGAAAAGGACATGGGAATCTGGTGGGCAGTGACTTACTGGTGAAGCAACCATGTGTCCTTACAGCAAGGGAGGCTTCCTGATGGCTGGGCACAGCAGTAGGGTTGGGGCAGGGGATTCTCCTCTTCCATTGCGGTGGGACAGCTGTGCCCTTCTTGCAGTGCTACAAAACAAGGAGATCAAGAAAATGCAGTGGTGAGTGGAAGGCCCCTGAGGTTCAGGAGGATTGCCAGGAGACAAGAGAGGGCATCACAAGGAGCTGGTTGCAGGAGCAGTAGAGGAATCAGAGCCAGGCTCCCCTGGGAGGTGCACAGCAACAGGACAGGAGACACTGACCACAAGTGGTGGTGAAGAAGACTCCCATGGGATTTGAAGAAGCAATTTTTCACAGGCAGCAAGGTTAAGCACTGAGACAAGTTGATTAGAGAGGGACCTCTATCCCTGGGGGTTTTTAAAACTCATCTGGACAAGACCCTAAAGCAACCCAACCAAACTTAGAAGGTAGCCATGCCTTGGGGAGGAGACTGGAATAGATAATCTCCAGAAGTTTCTTTCAACACACAATTTTGCTTTTATTACCCAGTGTGCAGTCTTATTTACAGTAAGTGTTTACTTAATAATTTTCTATTTTTTAAAAATAGCAAAGTGTAGAGTCCTGTGAAGCTATGCGGTGATTTCACAGGGATCAAATTCAGGTCTAAGTCTTCAGCACTGTAGTTTTTTAAGTCCTGACTTGGGAATGTATTTCATCTAAGTGCTCATTTCTAGTAACTTTGGATGTGAATGTCCACTTCCAACTTCGGTTATTGGAGAAAGCAGGTTATTGAGACAGACTCATTTTTAGAGGATACTTTTTTTACCTGCACTGATTACTAAGCCAAGTCCCCTTTTTCCAGAAATGTGTATTTTTGAAAAGAGCTAAAAGTATTTATGGAGGGGTAAGAGTACCGGTAAATGGAAAAATTCAGGACTTGGAGCATGAAAAGGATAAATAGGACTTGTTTGTCATAATGGCAAGAGCAGAACTGATTTATAGACTTTGACATCTTTAAGACCAAAGGAAAAGATAAACCTGTGAAGGTGAAACAAAATGTTTATATCATCTTGGGGTAAGATACAGAAAATAGAGCGATCGCCAGGAGGACCAAAGATTTGTTTGGCACTGGAGTAGTACTTGAAGGAAAGAAGTTGAAGGTCATGAAGGAAAATTACTCAGAGGTACAACAGAGCATTCTAGAAAATAATAATGACAGAAAGCTTCTTTGTGTGCTTAAAACATTAATTTATAAGGTAACCCTCTTATTTAGTAGAGCAGAATTAAAAGTCCTTCTTCTGATTTCTCTGAGTTTAGAATTAGTTTTTCCCCTTGAGCACCATGCCAGCACAATTAAGAGAGTTAATGTACAGCATGGCCTGGCAGAAGGTACTAATTCGTAGTGCTTTTCTCAGTGTGTTGGGGCCTAGCTGGCATTAAGCAAAGGGAAGCACCAACCGTCCTAAGGGACTGACTCTACTGCTTCATTTCTGAGTATGTTTAATATTTTTCTAATTTCTAGTGCAGTTGCATTTCATAATCCTAAGTAAATGTTACATGTGTAGTGCCTTGTGCAACCTTTGGAGAAATCTCAAACAACCTTATTATATCTCTCCTGAGAATATGCTAAATAATGTGGAGAAAATAAGTTTCTTGCAAATGGACACAGAAAACAATGCAGACATTGTGTTGAGCAAGATACCATCTTTGTCATTATTTGCCTTCTTTTACAAAAAGAATAATACCATGTTGTATGTTTGTCTGCATTAAGTTCTACAGTAGTGTGTTTTTGAAACAAATGCATTTTTAAATTGTTCTGTTAAGTTGATTTTATCCTTTAGTTTTAATGGTTTAGATTTTTTTGTCTGGAATGCGAGATCTATTCATTGGCAAGGTGTAGCTCAGTATCAGCTCAGTAAGATTCCTATCTGTTATGATTTGCATGGACTACAATATTTCATTTTCTCTCAAATACTATTGAATGTGTTAGCTGGCACCTGATAAAATCATAATTGAGTTCAACTGCCAGCTCTGGCCAGATACTTCAAAATAATCAAATGTTTCTATTTCTTGGAAGTGGCACATATACTGTATCATTTTTACTGTTGTAGTGCCTCTTAGAGACACCTAACTTTTTTCTTGCTTCTTCGAAGGAGAAAGGTAATTTAGATTTTATTTTTTCTTTCCAGCATAGAAATCAAATTAGAGTGTGTTTTATTCAGGCAGAAATTATAAAAGTAGCTACTTCACTCTTCCCTTTTCTTTCTTTTCCAATGAAGCAGTGTGTCATCTTTTTGAATTTGTTACAGCTTGCTGACCAAGGAGAAAGTAAACATGGCATCTCTCTTCTGTTTATTAATGACTGCCTGTCTTTTTTTATAATTTGAAGGGTTAAGGATGCTGAGTAAGCATTGCAGTGACATTGCTTTGCAAGTACCTTTGATATTCCCATCTGAAATTTATGATCTCTTCTACAGGACCAGCACTACAAAAAAATTCCTAGTCCAGTTTCTGAAAAGGGACTACATTAAATGAATATTTCCAAGGCTATCTCAGTGAAATCTTCTTTTTCATTTCTAGGTGTTGTGAAATGAGCAGAGAATAAATTTTATTTGAAGTAAGCAGAGAGGAGAAGCACATCATTTTGGCTACACCGCGTGTCTGGAACCCAAGAAGGAGGTGAACTCGCTATTTCCTTACTTTTTGCAACAAATTTTTAGCTGGGTAGCAGGCAGCATTTACTTGCCTTTAACGATTGGGCTTGGTTAGAAGGTATCCAAAGGGTCTGAACCACTGCCTGACTTTTACCACTGTGACTGTGCGACATGGCAACAAATGGGCTCATAGAGACGGGCTTTACATGTACCCAACTCTTAAGCTTTGGAGCCGACTGGTGTGGTCGTAAGATGACCAAGAAAGGAGAAGGATCAGGAAGCTCCAATGTAAAATTATCTGGACTGTGTCCTTCACTCAGTTGCACAGTGAATTTTAAATGCTGCTGGGTTAAGTAGACACTTCACATCAACTTCTTCCTTATATGAATGTGGCTACTCCTGGAATAAGTTTTATCTTGCAAGGATATAGTTTTATCACATGCTTCCACTTGCCCAGTGAGAATTGTCATGGTCTCATATTTTTATTGGTTTTGGTTATTCCATTAATGCAAGCTATCATATAAAACTGAGGAGTTTGTTCTCTTTTTTTTTTTTTTAATTCCATAAGACCGAATTGGGTTTTTTCAAAGCCATTGACAGCCTCTAAAAGAGTACAGTATTGTGTCTGTGGTATTCTGCCACTTCTTCCTCTCATCTGTCCTCCAAAACTTTGAGGCTGTGGTCTGAAATGCTGTCTTGGTTGCTGCTGAGCTTGGTGGCAAGATTACAGCTCTGAGCCTACCTCAGCTGCTCTTTACTACATCCTGCTAGAAATTATTACGACCTCCTGTCTGACAGTTGATTTGTATCTGTAGCCTCTCCTTACCTTGTCTCTGTCAAATAAGCTGCACTTAAAAGCTAAGTTTAATCTGATACTAGACATTTTGGCTGGCACCAGTACTGGCTAGGCATGAAGTTAAGCTAGCAGATCTGAGGAGGCAGCAACATGATGAGAAGAAAGATGGTAATGTGCAACTAGGGCATGTTGTGGATGATGACTTTTTGCTTTTTGACTTAACTCACTGTCGGCCAAAAAGATAGCTAGTAACAACTCTGTAGTTTTTAGAAGAGTGAAAAGATGGTGGAAAACTAGCAAAATATGTGTTTGAGTTGATGATAAAAATATTTTTTTCTAGATTTTTCTTTTTTTGCTTTTTGTCTTGCTGGATATCATTTGATTGGTCCCAAATGAAAGTTTTCTTCCTTGTAACATTATATTTTTATCCCATAAGCAAGTGGGCAGTAATGTCTCAGTATGAGATTAGTTTTTATTTTAAGTGTTCAGCTTCAACTTAGAGAACTGGGGAATGAACCCTGCTTAATGAACAGGTCTTCGTAAAATTAATTCTGAAAATAATGAGCCAGAAATTTTACTGATTGATGCCTGATGCAACACCAGTGAAGTCAAAACTGTTGCCTAGAATATAACTCAGAAATAGCTTGTGAAAATGTGCAGAAATCTCTCTTTGGAAGTTTTTTTAACTATTTCCAGTATTTCCTAGTATTACCTCAAATTCTGTCAAAATCATTACCGTCAAAAGTCACTGTTGTCTCTGGAGGTCACAGTGCAGCTGATGCAATTTTCATTGAGTCTAAAGACTTACTTTTTTCCCCTCAAAAAATTTCAAGTCATATGTTACCCTGGAAGTTTTGAGACAATGATCATGGTTGTTTCCAATGCTCTTGTAGTGGCAATATGGTTAAATGTTCTTTGGCAAGCATTTCAGAAATGCAGGTTTACTTAAAAAAGGGTATAAATATAGATGGACAGATGCTTGTATGTGTCTGTGTGGTTATCTGTGCTCATATGAAGGCTGACTTTCTTATAAACTCCCACAAAAAAATGTGGAAAACAGATGCTGCACTGTCTTTATCTCACCATATGATTGTTATTTTTAATAATTATGTGAGTCCTTCACTAAGTTTGTATACATAGTTACCATGCTCTAGTGGGTCTAGAGCTGACCCGTTAAATAATGAAAAAGCTTTTGTAGCTAGATGTACCAATCTAGTTATTAAAGGGGGAAAAGAAGTTATGACCTTATGGCCTGCATAGTGCACTTCTGATAGACTATTCCACTTTCATTTTTTTTGTCAGTAGATACAGGTAACTGGTTGGAGCTGATAAAATCATAGGAGATTTCTTTCCTGGCTCAGATAAGTTTTATGCCTTAGCGCTCCTTATCTTTGCTCTCGGTTTACAGATTTTGAGAACACAGCTGTTTAGCAGTCACTGTAATCACAGAAAGTTTACTATATAGATAAAGTTTAGTTTCCTAGCAGAGATTTCCTTTATAAAAGTGTTTATTGACAATACTTGTCTAGTGTTACAGACTTACTGAAAATTGTAGTGAGAGGAGAATCTAGGCATTGATCTCTACTTTCATGGTTTTTTAACTTTATGTAGCTTGTCTAATTCAGTTCCAGTGGTGGGATAACTTGGTCTGTAATGCTGGGCGTCCAGATAAACCTGCAGAGAATCAGAATTGGGTAAGCTGCTGGTGAGAAGGTAATAAAGGTTAAAAGAACATCTAAGACTCAGTGTTGTAGCTTCTTTCCTTACAATATATGTGACACGTTTGACACGAAATTGAAAGGTTCAGTTGTTAGATCTATAAAAGTACCCACAAAGCATGACCAAGATAAAAGGTGCATAGAGTAGAAGGTCATATTTTCTTCTCAAATGGATGGTTCTTTGACTATAGGTGGTTTAGCAACTAAAACTCACAGAAATAAAAATGTTTTTTTAATATTTTTTTTCCTCCAGAGAGGTCTTTGTTGTTATATCTTTAGAAGAAATACTTCTTTCTTTTCCTTTTCTATTATCACAGATCCTGAAGTGGCTGATTACTTTTGTTGGATAACCTTGTCTAACAAAGTATTATCTGAAGAGGTGAAACAATCCTTAAAGTAATGCCAAAGAGTGAAAAATGTCAAGATGTCAAAGATGTCTTCTGGATAGGTTAGAAGTTATTTTCAAGAGTACATATTGAAAGGGAAAGAAATTGGGTCCATTGGGCTTAACTCAAAATACAGTTTGGCTGTGAAAACTAGTAGTGCTCCATAACAGCAGGGTTTTGTCTGAGAAATACAACCAGCCATATAACAAGAGCAAGTCAGCTGGCCGTAGTTCATATTCAGCCTTGTCATAAACAGGTTAAGTATTTTTGTAACAAGTGCATTGTTTATAATTAATTTTAGTGTTACTGTTTTGTGGGTTTTGTTGTGTTTTGGTTTTATTTGAAACAGTAAAACCCAAAAAAGAAACTGGAGTTGCTAAGCATGCTGCCCTGTCTCAGGGTTGCAGATTTTCCTGAGCAGGGACCTCTAGCCCACTCTCTAGAGCTTTCAAAGGTAAAAGACTTCACATAGACTGTTTTCAAAGCTTGTATGAAAACATTAGTAGAGGAAAAAAAGTCTTCCAGTGATCATTAAGAGTCTGCTTTTCTATGTGCAAAACTTTCAACAACATGCAGGAACATTCAGGACGTAGGAAGAGGTTTTAAGGTTTTTACATTTCTGTAGAAGCTTTGAATGTTTAAATAAATATCCACTTCTTCAGAGACATTTTTGTGTTCAAAGTGGACAAGAAGAAGGAATGTGACTCATTATACTAGGGCATATATTGTATTGGGTTCACTTCAATAGTCCTGGTAAGTAGGATATTTTGAAGAAAAACTAATGTCTTGATTAAGGAAATTCAAATTCCCCAAATTCTTGAAAGCTGTATAAGGAGCAAAAAAAGAGAAATATGTCTCAAAATCTGAAAGTAACTAATAATCTAGAAGAATTTTACTGTTTAGGTCATTAATTTAGTATGAATTATAACATATCAGTAACAGCAGATAATTAATCAAAGAAAGAAAGGGAGGAAAAAGGACCTCTGTATTCTCTCACTGCTGTATAAAAGCAGTTTAATACATGGAAGAATTCTTTTTAGTAGTATTTTAAATTCAGTAATTATCTTGGAGTGTGGCTGTTGTGTATATCTATTTTTTATTTATTTTGTTTTATTAATAAATGCAAAAATAGCCTATGTTATAGGAAATAAATTTTTGGTATGGTATTGTAGTATTTTAGTTAAAATTTTGGAGTAGGCCTAAGGACTTGCTCTGCAAAACATTTCCCAGGAAAAAATCAAGTATAATTTGCTCTCTCATACCTCCACGAAAGACTTCTTACATTTAACAAAAGCAACCCCCCCCCCAAAAAAACCCCAAAGCATCCAATCCATAGTAACTCTTGATGATTTCAAAAAAAATAAAAAGCAATTAATATTAGTGATAAATTATCTGACTACATATTTCACTATTACAAGGATAATTCTTCAATTAAATATCTCCTTCTTTATTGTACTGATTAGTCAGACCATTGCATTGTTACAAATGAGAGGATCTAGAACTGGAAGATTTAACCCAATTGTATGATAATTTTTTTCAAAATTCTTCAAATTACACATTCAAGTAACTAGTACCCATCACTATTTTAAAGTTTTACAAAATTTCTCATTAGAATAGTAAATAAAAGTAAGTTTTAATTCTAAATGGGGTGAATACTTCTAAATAAGGAATTTCACCTTTTTTTGTAGAATGCAACATTTTGATTTGCAAGTCAGAGGTGTATTTTATTTCATAGTTATATAGTCAATAGATCTTAGCTTATGGGTTAAAAAGATCACTTGTGAATTATGTTGGCTGCAAAAATTTTTATAGATTTTTAATTTATTATAGATTTTTTCCATTTTATGAGAGGAAGAGAAAAAACTGATGCATATAAAGATGACTGTGTTTCAGATGAGCCTGAGACATAGGTGGCAAACGGGCCTCTCAGCTGTTGGTGTCATGCTGCTGTGATGCAATTTAGTAGCATATGTCAACATTTCCATAATATTATGCAGTGTTTATTCATTGTATGGATTTACTTTGATACATAAATGAACAGAATACAGGAAAAAAAGCAGTCAGCATTTATATAATGAAGTTTTCCAGATGTTTGATACATACTACAGTGAATTGCCATGGTTTA